GTGGTGCAGACAACGGTCACTCTGGGGTCAGGAATGGAACAGTATTGTCTTTAGTGACGAGTCTCGATTTTGTTTAGGCATGCACGATGGTCGTGCCAGGGTTAGAAGGCGATGTGGTGAAAGGAGGAATCCACAGTTTTTTGTTGAAAGACATGTTCATCACACTGTTGGAGTTATGGTTTGGGGTGCTATAGCTTATGGTTCCAGGTCACCTTTAATCTTCATCAGAGGTAACATGAACGCGCAGCGTTATATCCACGAAGTTCTAGAACCCCATCTTTTACCCTATCTTGACACCCTGGCAGATCCAACTTTCCAACAAGATAATGCCCGAACACATGTTGCAAGAGTCACAATAGACTTCTTTCAACATAATGATGTCACATTGTTACCATGGCCACCAAGATTTCCCGACTTATCCCCAATTGAGCACGTGTGGGATATGATGGGTAGGAGATTGCTCAATTTGCAACGTCCTCCTCAGACTCTAGAAGCACTTCGAGAGGAGTTCGTGGTTGCCTGGAATGAGATACCACAGGAGGACATTGACCACCTGATCAGAAGCATGCCTAGGCGCGTTGGAGAATGCGTAGCACATCAGGGTGCATCCACACATTATTAAAGGTCAAAGGGCTTTAAAGCAGTGCAATCATTTTGAAATTTTTATCATTTACTTATTATGCTTCATTAAGTACTTATACAAAATTTTATTAAAATAAAACCATTTAAACTGGGTGTTCGGATTTATATGTCACTTAGTATACATATATTAATGAATCACAAAAACGAAAAACTGAAACAAACAACAGTAGCAAAATAAAAGGCGATTAATAATAATAAGTATAAATCAAAAAATAACAGTAGTAAGCTAAAAAATGATAAATTATAAAAAATTATAAAAAACAAAAAATAAAAAAAAGTAGTAAAACAAAAACTAATTCCATGTGATTATAAAAACAAAAAATAATAAACAGCAGTAAAATAAAAAGCAATTTTAGGTGATTATAAAAAACGAAAAATAAAAACAGTAGTAAATAAAAAAACCAATCGCATGTAATTATGAAAAACAAAAAATAACAAAGAATTGAATAAAAAGAAATTCTAAGTGACAACAAAACCAAAAAGTAAAAACAGTAGTAAAACGAAAAACAATTTCATTCCATCCGAATTGCTTTTTATTTTACAGTTTGTTATTTTTTGTTTTTTATAATTACATGGAATTGTTTTTTGTCTTACTACTATTTTAATTTTTAGTTTTTTATAATCACTAAGAATTGCTTTTTATTTTACTGCTGCTTGTTATTTTTTGTTTTATACTCAGTAAGAATCACTTTTAACTTTACTACTGTTGTTTGTTTCAGTTTTTTATTTTTGTGTTTCATTAATTAATATATGTATTATAAATTTTCCACTTTTCATATTTTTCCCTAAATACGGAACCCAATCCGGCAACACCGCAGGCAAGCGCCTCTCATATATGACATATCCACAGACGTCAACGTCATATGGTAGATGGCGGTGGAAATAATGGGGGAAATAACTGCTAAAAAATACAATGTTTTGGGAAAAAAAATCGTGCAATCGTGCTTCATCCACACTTTTTATGACTTAAAATAATCTATCAGACTACCTTCTATAAGTTTCAAGTGAAAAAACAGTGAAATCTGAAGTTCTACAAGACGCAACAGTACCCCTACAGTTTTTGGAAATTATTTAGTTAGTCGTTTTTTGACACAGTAGGGTCAACCCACTTGACATAATTTCCTAAATGGAATCAACCAAAGAAAACTAGTTCATCTTTTGATTTTCCCGCCAATCGGAGGATATCCGTTAAATTTCCCCGTGGATTTTCCCTTCTTTATTTCAACCGTCACCAAATAGATATCCACCCTATAAAATTAGTAACGCACGACCGACTGTCTCGTGGGCCGTCTAGCGTATCCCTCAACTCCTTTTCACCCTTGCTTTCGCCCTCTTGAGGACGTCTTTTGCCGCGAAAAAGAACGAATTTACCATCTTGCGTCGACTACCAGGAAGTACCCTCGGAAGTACCTTGCTGAAATCGTTCATTATACATCCGATTATACGGTCCTTATATCTAGTCGACTCGAAATATAATATTAGGTCAAATTGGGCGTAACGTGTAACGGACTAGAAGACTTGAGAATCAGAAATAATAGAATTTTCAATGACTCAGTATATAGTAAAATCGACTCAGATTGGCTTGTACTATCACCCCCACCGGCTCCGCATCTATTTTCCCGTCACCCTGTATAATAGAAGGTCTTTCACTGATACCAAATATGCAATAACTTACAACCACATATAGCTCCCAGCTTATAATTTTCATCGTCTTCAAACAATGTCTCAAAATGAGCAGGAATCTCTGAAATGTAACACATGTCCTAGCGATTTTATTTCCGCCACCTCTAAATCACTTTGCATAATTATAACACTGAGTCAATCTACTTGACGAAATATTCAGAGAACCTTCATAGACGAAGTAACACAAATTAAAGCTTAGTCGGAGTATAAAAACTTTATCTGAAGTCACTTGAAATAGCATAAAAACCTTTGGTCGGCGCGTCCTTTGTAATTTCATGACGTATCATAGGCGTGCGGTCATTTATTTAGAACGATAATAATAATGTTTTTATATCACAATAAATGGATTTTACTATCTTCTTATTTTTTTGATATGGGATAAAAAATACTTATATTGGGAGTTTAATTTATGTTGACTGAAAGTTAAGAAATGGAAAAATTACAGAATTCCAACGTTTGACATAGGCAAATATTTACATAGCAGGTATATAAAAAGGTATATAAAGACTTACATTATAGGTATTTATATATCATCCTCGCCTTCGGAGCTGTCGCTAGAGTCATCTTGTAGAGGAATTACAACGGGATTTACAGGAGGCAAAACACAATATTCATTTTCTTTTTCAATAATATGCCTAGAACACTGCTTCCATAGGTCTGTGGCAGCAATATGAGATACTGCATCTCTTATTGTGGCCAATAGCGATTCACTTAATTGAGGGGTCTGATTATGTTTTCTTACTTTTTTTTTAAAGCAGCCCAGACCAACTCAATCGGGTTAAAAATGCAGTAATAGGGAGGTAGACGTAATACTTCATGGCCATTTTGCTGAAGCAGATTGTCAACAACATACTCTTTTTCAAATTTTTGTCTTTTAATAAGATCCAATAATGTGGCTTTGGTTGATTTTTGTGGTATTTCCATTCCCTTATCCTTCATAAAATCAATAATGTCTTGTTTTTTTGTGCCTGTATTCGGAATTTTGTTTTTCTGTCGGGAATGGTATGGCGCATTGTCCATAATAATCACTGAATTTGGGGAAATGTTTGGTATTAACTGCTGCTCTATCCACTTTTCCAATAAGTCGGAGGTCATGTCCTCATGATAGTCGGCACATGATTCTTTGATATTTTTGGCAGATAACAGCAAGGCTTTAGGTATAAATCCATTTTCACTGCCAGCATGGAGAATAATGATTCGTTTTCCACGGTTGCATGGTGCATTTAAAATGCACTTGTTGCTGTCGTCAACCCAGCCGTACTGCACAACATCATGGGTATCATACCACGTTTCATCCAGGTAAATCAGATTTCTTTTCTGCTCTCTACAGATTTTAACTTTGTGCAAAAATTCTTGGCGCAATTCAACGATTCGAGACGACTCCATAATCACCATTCTTTTATCTAATTTTTTGTATTGAAAACCACACAGTTTTACAATACAGTGCAGTGGGTCTAAGCATTTGTAATTATAAAAATCTTCAAGATAATCTTTTAATTTATCCCGTATCATTTCCAACGTGGGCACCAAATTTTCTTTATAAAATCCGTATATTATACGACGAATATCTTCCTGAAAACCACGTCTATTCTTTTTAATTTTTGCCCTATGCGCTTTCTGTGGAAGGAATGGTTGACGACTACATCTCCCCTTTTTATAACCCGATAAATGGTAGACCGACTGATTTTTGTCAGGATACAAATTCTGTTTAAAATTTGATTTTGCGAGGAATCTGGATTTTCGTTTTTCAGACAATCATACATATTTAGGATTACTCTTTGGGTATGTTCCTCTAAATCTTTATGAAAGAATTCTGCCTGCACAGGTTCATCAACCATCTCCTCGTGGCTTGGAGCATTTTCCCAAGGTCTCCAAAGAGCCATATTTAGGACACACAAGAACAATCAACACAACAATTAAATCATCAAGTAAACCGAGTATTCAAAAGTCAAAAACACACAAACTAATAAAATCTATGAAAAACACGGACAGACTAAAGAAAACACGTTTATTCACCGCTACACGGCACTGGCTAAACTGTTTCAATTTTCAGTAGCCACCTGCACTTGTTCGGAGCTCTGAAATACACGCTTTCTCATTGGCTATGTCCACGCATAGGCGTGCTTTACTCCACGTGGACCGGTGAAACTGCCTTTGATCTTATACGGGGGATATTTGCTGCGAAATTTGGCGATTTTTGCAGCAATAGAGCGTGTTAAATATAGATGTATAAAACGCACCCGGTATTTCACAGTGTTTCAAGTGACTTCAGATAAAGTATACTTTTAAAGATCATAAAAGTCAGAAAATAGTATGTGTAAAAACAGTTAAGCCATCATTTACAAAAGCATCGCAGGAGGCTAAAGTGGTACGTACTCCCAGTATCCAAATATTGCTGAAATATATAAATATTTCTCCCTAAAGCGATGTGTCAGTGACGACACCACCGCAGACCATGATTTAATTTTCCTGTTCCTGTAAACAGAACGATAGAACGTATTTTACTAACACTAAAGACGTTACATTTACAACCCCCTACAGCCCCACGGACCGACGGACAGACATGTACATGTCACATAACATCCAAAAAACAATTTGGAAATTTCTCGCGATTACAACACTTCCTCGCCAATGGCGTGGGAAGTAAAAAATACGATCATCTCATGCACACTCACCATGACGTGTATCGACGTGACGCTGTAGTCCGTGTACGCGCAAAGCAGGTCAATAGGCAGCATATTCGTGGATCTCAGCTTTGAAGCTATCAGCAAACAGGTGGCGCCCAGTAGCTGAAGCTGCTGTCTCTTGATGCAACACACGCATAGAAACCTGTCCATGATATTGATGGCCAACGGCAGCACTTGGTCCTCGCACATTTGCTCTTCACATACCTGCAACAAGCAGCAGAGGTTTGTCATGTCCTCATTGGGAACAATCAGGAAGGTATGAAGAAGTTTCCATATGGCGGGTTCCAGAGGACACATTTTATATCTTAAATTCGACCATATGACGCTTTACGACTTTTTCATGGACATACCCGAATGCGGCGCTCCAAATGACCTGTGTGCGGCATTGGTAAGAACGGCTAGCGAAAATAGCGACTTTTCCCTGTAAAACCCTATAATACTTTTAGGTTTCCTATGAGAAAAAATTCCAAAAATACATGTATGTGGTACAAAAACTAGCTTCAACATCAGTCTCATCTTAATGGCTCATATGATCAAATGATTCTTAAAAAAACTATGGTTGTTCAAATCTACACAAAATGACAACGTTAAACAATTACTTACTTCAAGCCAACACACATTTCTCATTTTTCTACCAATATTCAAATATGTAAGGAAAAAATGTACAAAAAGAGAAAAGACGATTCTTGGAATTTCAAGCATGATTCATCTTTACTTTATCATCTGGTAATCAGCTGGTGGTCTCCTTTCTTGGCGCCAGGCAGATCAACAAAAAATATACAAAAATGCCAGGAAATCAGCTGGTAAAAATAGCGATGGAAAAATAATAAGTTTCTCATGAAAATTGATGCCTTTACTTGTTAAGCTACGTTTACAATCTAGCAAGCACATCAGTCAAACGCATGCAGCGCAACATGTGTCTCCAACTTGTTGCGCGCCGAAGTCACTTGCATCATTGTTCCGCCACATGCTGCAGACTGAACAATTTTGAAACCTCGACAACTGAATATACCTGGGTATGAAGCAATAAGTCAACTTTAATTAAGCAACAAGTCATGGAAAGTTGAAACTATAAGCTAAGGTCGTTACTTAACTGGACAGAATGTTTTTTCAATAACAAAACATACACATGAAAATGATAAAACGTATCAAGCGAAACATTTAAAAAAAAATAGAACAAAATTTCAATAGAACTCTGATTTAATCATTAAATTTGGAAAGATTGGTCAATATTTTGTGATAAAAAAATATGTCCAACTATCCATGGTCATGGGAACTGGTGAACAGTGAAACATTTGAATATATAATGCTTTTAACGACATTTCAGTAGATAGGCATACTGGAATCTTACCTCAAGCATCCAGGTAGTGACGACCTTTCTCATGAAGGGCTGAATGTCATCTTGGACCGTTTGGAAGTAGTCGCACTTTGGAACAGCGAACATTTCCTCGTTCAAAAGATTGTTTATAACGCGAACGTCCTCGAAAATCGCTCTGTCCCTTTGAGCCCTGCAAGTGGCGGTTGAATTTTCGTTGCACACGAGATCCATGTCGATGGTCAAAAGTTCTTTGAAAAGCACTGAAAGCACAGTTGAAACGTGAAGTCGACTTGGGCGCTTGGCGATCGACAACCTTCACCTTCGCGAGTCGGATTGCCAATGAGCCGATGAGCGATAGAGGCGAAGAGCGAGAGAAAAAGAATTTAGGAAACAGCGATAAGCGCCGTCTGTCCTTTGGCTAAAGGGAGACAAGTAGTTTTGTTGTTTGCGACGCATGCGCGCCTCGGTGCACTTGCACCTGGATTATAGTACAGTCGTCGTTTATTTTAAAGTTCATCAACAGGTGGCGTACAGCATACGTAATGTGAAATACTGTTCGTCTATATGGCATTGATTAACGTATTCTACCTGAATATACGCAATCATATATGCTGTATCTCGATATCCAAATAGGATGTGAAATATGCTAGTGCTACCTATGAGACAGTAGTCAAATACAATAAATAATATTTTAAAAAAACTAAAAAAACACGCTTTTATAGATAACCAAACTAAAAGGTAGAAAATATTTTTTAATTACAAAGAGGTTATATTACAGTAGTAGGTGGTCTAACAATCAATCATAATTAATAAATTGAATTATTCTGTTAATAACTTTAATTTTATTATAATTTTATTTTGATGTCATTAATTATGACTGATTGTGCGGCTATCTACTACGAGCCCCTTCTCACTTCAGTTGGCCCAACTATTGAAATCTTAGTTTTTTTCTTATCAAACACAAATAATAAAAATGTAGCAGGGTGTTATAGGTTTAAAATATTAACAATGAATATTTTGATAACATATAGTAGAAAACACCAACTTTATCACACCCTAATCAAATTTGCAGCATAAAACTAACACATGTTGCAATTACAGCATATCAATCTATTTTCATTTCAGTGCAAAATAAGTCTATAACGCATAGGTGTCTGTGAAAAATAAAAGCCATGACAATTGTTTTTATTAATCACAGCTGTCAGAATACGTTTAAAATAGTTTTGGGTAGTTAAGGTTTTCAAAATGGGTAGAGGAAAGGTTATTAGTGAGAAAATTCGGTTACTGATAATTAAATTTTTTAATTCTGGGAAATCAAACTCAGAAATTGCAACTTTGTTAGACTTATCGCGGTACAGTGTGATAAATATTGTTAGAAGATATAACGTAACCGGTTCAGTTAATATTAAGCCACGATATGTGAAAAAAAGTAATATCACAAATTCCGACCGAAGAGCATTAAGAAGAATAATCGTGAAAAACAGACGTGCCAATTATTTATAATTAAGTGCTCTGTGGAGTGACGCTGTTGTCCACAACTCATAGAGAGGCCCACAAACTGGGATTTAGCAATTTTAGAAGAATCGCTTTTACCAGTGATGGAAGCATGTTTGACATCCGGCCAAGATTTTGTTTCAGCAAGATGGTGCAGCGTGGCATACCTCAAAAAAGGCTATAAAATGGATGGAAGAAAATAATGTACCACTTTTGAAATGGGTTTCTAGCAGTCCAGATCTGTCACCTATTGAAACTTTGTGGCACGAGATGAAAAAGGTTCTACGACAACATCCTGCTCGTACAATCACCGAACTGAGACAAAAGCTTCAAGAAATAAGGGATTGTTTTACACCAATTTTTTGCCAAAACTTGGTTAACACTATGCCCGAAATAATTTCAACTGTAATAAAAAATAAAGGTGATGTTACCCAATGGTAACCTTTCAATTGTTGATTTGTTAACTTCGCGTATTTATTCGCACATTGTTTATTTGTTCAGATGTTCTATTAGTTATAGGTCTAAGTGATTTCAAATATGTATTTTTTACGACTAGAGTGTATCTAAAATGTTTTTGAGAAAATAAATTGTTTTAGAAGTAAATAGTTTTGTCATGTTTAGTTTATAAAGGCATATTTTGGTACATCTCGAATTGGGCCAACTGAACTGGGAAGGGGCTCGTACTGTAGTATAAACTCTTTGTAATTCAGAATTATTTTCTACTTTTTAGTTCGGTTAGTTAAAAAGGCGTGTTTTTATAGTTTTTTTAAACCCCCGTTACAAACATACATATACCGGCCAAGCTAATAAAAGCGTGTTAATAATAATAAAATAATAATAAAATCGTGCTAAAAAAACTATACTGGGAATTCACAGAAATCAATTTTGAAAACCTTTGTGTTTGCTTCTTTCTCATACCAGCAATTAATGTATTTTACTAACCAACCTAAAAAATTATTGGAGATAAAATGAAATACCGTGTCGACATCTATGAGACTTTATCACAGCTGTTTCCCTATTTACTACTGCTATTTACAGTTTCAAAGTATGTTTAGTAAAAAGAGAAACAGCTGCGACAAATTCTTATAGGTGGCGCTACGGTATCCCATTTTATGTCAGAAAAAATTTTTGACGCACGAATATAGTATTTGGTTAGCTATCTTCGAGTATAATACGTTAATCAATGATTTTATGTTTAAAATGATTTCTAATAAGTAGCTCAAAAACACTGACTGCTTACATCAAAACGTGAACATAACTATTATATTGAAATATCAAAATGAAAAAAATCGAAATTAACCGACCTGAATCGCTTCTTTAGTTTTCTAATTTTTCAGGCAGTAATAAAGTTCATTGAAACACGCAGGTGCCCCAAAAACTTTTTTAAAACATTAGAGGTCAAATTTTTAAAACATATTATTGACGAAGAATTTCAATCCAGTTTGCAAGTTCATTGTTTAAAAATTGAATCAAAATTATTATTGATGACTATTTCCCTCGTCGCGATTTCTACCAATCACAAACTCGCATTTTTTTAATTACAAATGATTTCTAGATGGAAAAATTGTATGACAGCACCTGTCAGCAGTTTTTTCGAGTTCATCCACAGCAAAACTTGACAACTGTTGTCACCAAAAATTACAATACCTTTGATAACAAGTAGTTATGGTTCCCTAGGACACCAGAAAACGACGCTAAACAATTTTTCTGATTTTATTGGCAATAAAGGTAGTATGTTTTGTAAGCTATGGGTATACAGAATAATCTGTTGCTCATGAAATAGCATTATCAAATACCATTCGGGCATCTAATTTTTTCCTGTGAAATGAAGCGAAAAAACAATGCAAAGTAATATTTTTTTTATAACAAAAAACATTTCTGCAACCAGCAGTCATGCTTCTTGTTAAAATATTAGCAAACGTGTTTTTTAGATTTTTTTCGGAAAAATTAGATGCCCTTATATTACTTATGAATAAAGCTTACAAATAACTTCAATTCTCCTGGAAGATTTTTGGTTCCATTGGTACTGTCCGCGCCATCTGTGAATCGACAAATTAACGACAGAGTAGTGGCATAAAGGTAACTACAGGATGAAAGTGGAATTAACTGTTTACCAACATGTCAGCGTTATCAAAATGACAGATGATTAAAAATGGCGACGGAAGCTTATTAGCCTATACGGCCTTGTGATTGTGAAATCAAGAAAACAAAAAGGTATTGATTACATAATTACACTGCTGTGAATTTTTCGAACAAAATTTTATAGCATAAAAATTGCGTGTGTGTGGTTCGCAGAACGTTGCTGTTTTCCGCGGTGCTTTTCAATGAATATTTCAATTTTGTTGTGGATGGTTGAAATATTCTTTTGATTGTTACCGTGAGGAAACAAGACAGCAGATTACGTGTGCAGACAGTGGGGTCAATTAGCCGCCTAAATATATGGCCGAAGAGGAAACAAAAATAACCAACCCGAAGGAAGATAACGAAATACAGAACAGTGAAACACCCATCACCCTCAGTTGCCCTTTTTCAAACAAGTTACAAAATGGTTACATCAAAGCAGCACAAGGTAATTCATATGCTATTCAGACCACATATTCTTCCCTTAAAGCTATATCCTGTTCCAATAAATGAATTCCATTCCAGTGCACATTGTTTGGTGCCAAAAGTGAGATATTTTGAGGGCCCTTTGTAACATCAAATTCTGAATCTACGCACCGGACTTACCCAGAAAAAGAGTTTTCTTCAGGAACACAGATAGGCAGTAGCTCTGTGTAAATCAAGGGGGGTTGGGTAACCAGAGCCTCCTTTTGAATTTAGAGTTGTATGCACCCTGAGTGTGACGCTCCTGTACTGCTCTAGCAAATGTGCACAGGAACACCTAACATGTTCTTTGATGTTTTGCTTTACGTTGACAATTTGTATCACACTGCCAAACAATGAAAGTGTAAACACAATTTGTCTTTATTTTGATGCTTTTAGAATGATGCCACAACATATCAGAGGTCTCCATTTTTTCTAGTAGTTTCTGGCTAAATGTGTTGAATTCACATTTTAGTGTATACATTCAAAATTATTTTGTAAGTGTCTAGTTATAAATGAAGCCAACTGGAAGCTGTTGTGAAGCTGCATTCTTGCACTCTCCTATGATGCTTATTATTCAGGAACATCTCAAATGTACGTTGTGACTCTGGGTCATAACATTTTCAGTTTTTTACCATCCTCCATGAAAAAACATAACCTATCAATCTTGACACAATGCCATCTTATCCCCACTATTTCAAAGCATATACCACAGAATAAAAAGCCGGTGCATGATAGGGCAGGGGATTTAAAAAATAAGTGGTTCCGGAGCATGACACTCTAGAACTCTAGACTCTAGAGCACTGGAATGGTATTGACAGGTGATGGGTAGCTCCAAGTTACTCCAAATAACACAAACGAGGCACTGGAAAGCACCTCTGGTGTGTTACAGTGTCAGCAGCTCGGCTGGCTCAATTTTATGATGTAATAGTAACTGTCTATGACTCTTTCTAGTACAAAATGTATGGAAGTCGTCAAAAGTGGATATAAAATATAAAAAACAAACAAACAATCTACAAATAATTGAACTGTATAAAACACAATATTCAGAGATCGTGTTATAATTTTTTATAAGAAACTGCTCAAGTTTCATTTTGAAAAAGCTTATATCTTTGGCATTTCTTTCATCTTCTGGCACACACTTCCTGGATACATTGTATTTCACAAAAGGTACATACGAGTATAATAGGTTAGAATCTCTTGAATTTAGACGATGAACATATTTATCTTTTAAATAGTTCCTGCACTATGCATACTATTTTCTTTAGCAATGCTTCTGATCACTCTTTTCTGGCATGTAGATACATCTATCATTGTACTTGATGTACTCCAGAAGCAAAGTCCATACTTCAGCCTGTATTCATTTGGCGAAACAGCATGCACTTATCTAATTTGAGGCGCTAATTATAAATAGGATCATCAAAGATTCATGAATTTCCATAGAGCATTCCATAGCAATTGATGCTGGATTCAGAATCTATGATCTAGATTTACCCAGGAAACAAGTTTTCATGGAAATCATAAGATATACAGAGGTTTTTGAAAATTTTCTCATTGATAATTACAAATATATACTAAGTGACATATAAATCCGAACACCCAGTTTAAATGGTTTTATTTTAATAAAATTTTGTATAAGTACTTAATGAAGCATAATAAGTAAATGATAAGAATTTCAAAATGATTGCACTGCTTTAAAGCCTTTTGACCTTTAATAATGTGTGGATGCACACTGATGTGCTACGCATCATCCAACGCGCCTAGGCATGCTTCTGATCAGGTGGTCAATGTCCTCCTGTGGTATCTCATTCCAGGCAACCACCAACTCCTCTCGAAGTGCTTCTAGAGTCTGAGGAGGACGTTGCAAATTGAGCAATCTCCTACCCATCATATGCCACACGTGCTCAATTGGGGATAAGTCGGGAGATCTTGGTGGCCATGGTAACAATGTGGCATCATTATGTTGAACAAGTCTATTGTGACTCTTGCAACATGTGGTCAGGCATTATCTTGTTGGAATGTTGGATCTGCCAGGGTGTCAAGATAGGGTAAAAGATGGGGTTCTAGAACTTCGTGGATATAACGCTGCGCGTTCATGTTACCTCTGATGAAGATTAAAGGTGACCTGGAACCATAAGCTATAGCACCCCAAACCATAACTCCAACAGTGTGATAAACATGTCTTTCAACAAAAAACTGTGGATTCCTCCTTTCACCACGTCGCCTTCTAACCCTGGCACGACCATCGTGCATGCCTAAACAAAATCGAGACTCGTCACTAAAGACAATACTGTTCCATTCCTGATCCCAGAGTGACCGTTGTCTGCACCACTCAAGGCGATTACGTCAGTGTTCTCGAGTTAAAGGGAGGACCCAGTGTGGCCGGTATGAAAACAAGCCAAAACTTCTCATTCATCGGTAAACACTTCGCATGCCAATAGGTCTTCCGTGTTCTGCAAACCATTCATTTGCAATGGACCTAGTAGTGGAGAAACGGTCCCTTAAGGCCAATAATCTTAGGCGGCGATCTTCACGGTCTGTTGTTCTACGGCGGCGTCCGGTGCCCCTTGCTCTTTGCGTACGGCCTTCTCGAAGCCATGCCTGACAACACCTAACCACAGTGTCTACACTTCTTTGCACTCTAACTGCAATTGCCCGAAAAGAAAGTCCAGCTTCCCGAAGTCCCACTATACGGCCCCTATCAAACTCACTAAGTTGACGAAATCGTACAGGTCTCCGTACTCTAGGCATCGTAACCGATCGTAAAGGATGTCAAGAACCAAAATCCGCCAACGTTGATTCTTTACTGCGGCTGAAATATTCATTTTTAGAGCGTTAGTGAATTAAAAAAAAAGCAGTATAAAAACCGTAATGTCTAACTGATAAGGCTGAAAATTGTTTCACTTGTTATTTACAGTAAGATAAATACATTCACCAACTTTTATTAAAATAAAACCATTTAAACTGGGTGTTCGGATTTATATGTCACTTAGTATAGAACTTTGAGGGCAAATTAAACTTTTAGTTAATTTGAAAATTACAAACTTATATGAGGCTGATTTGAGCTAGAAAATAAATCATTTGAGATTCTGTATTAGTCATAGTGTCACATTGACATCAGTCTGGATTCTAAGCAAACAATTTACCCAGGAAATGAGCATTTATCTAATAACAGTATTGCAGATAGGTAGATTTTTTTTTTGAAATGTCATTGTAAATAATCACTTGTAAATACAATAGGCTGACTTTAGGTCAAAATATTGCATAGAAAACGGGTTACTGTTCAGGATATGAAACACTATTTATTGGAAAAAGAAGTTACACATCATATATTTATGTTTCAGATGATGGAGATGACAACTATGATTCCGACAATTCAATCGAGTACGACTCTGATGTGCCCCAGGATGAGATCGATCAGATGCTGGAAGAGGCCCTGGCCAGGAAGAAGCGGAAAGCAGCTGAAGCAGGGCTTGATGAGGATGAAACTATACCATTTGAGGAAAAGACGAAAATCGTACTCATAGAGAAAGGTACTATCTAGGATCCTGGTGCTGAAAGTCCCGAAATTTCACTGTAATTTGCCATCTATAAGACACTAGCCTTTTCAAAGTACAGCAGACGCTCGATAACGTAAACACGGGATAATGAAAATTTGCGCTAATGTAAACACAAACTTCGTTCTATAGGATCAAACGGAACGCGCTATAACGTAAACAATGTGTACGCTCGATAACGTAAAAAACTCTCGGCGCACGGAAACAGCGCGACGGTAAAATGCTGAAGCCTCGATGATTTATGTCGGGCGTCGGGGAGTCCCCGATTTATGATGTAGAGTGTAGGGGATTCACCTCTGCGATAAAATATGACAAACTCGGTTAGTCGTATGATCGTTTAGGATACGCCTATACGTACGTATGTATTTCATTTTTGAACTTAAGTGAATACATTGCACGCGTTAATATATTTTACGACTATGGCATCCACATCCTATAAAAGAAAGTGTTTAAAGTTGAGTGAGAAAGTGAAAATCATAGACGAAGTTGCACTAGGTGCGGGAGTGACACAGTTAGCAAAAAAATATGGAGTATCGAAAGCAACAATCTGTAAAATTGTAAGCGTATGAAAACTTTAAAAAATGCGAAGGCACCTAAAATGGAAAATTCCCTGTATAAGTGGTTTTTAAAACAACGGGAAAATCATGTCCCAGTTAGTGGCAAAGTACTCAGAGAGCGAGACTGTTAAATGAAAAACTGAACGAAACTGAAAATTTCGTAGCTAGTGATGGCTGGCTACAACGATTCAAAACAAGATATGGAATTCGACTGCTGTCTATATCTGGTGAAAAATTATCAGCACAACCACAATTAGTGCAACCATTCAAAGAAAAATTAATGAAAACAATTACCGAGCTAGGTTTAAGAATGGAAAAAATTTACAACGCAGATGAAAGTGGCCTTTATTGGAAAATGTTACCAGAGAAAACCTATGCTGCATCATTTGAAAAATCTGCCCCGGGAAAAGAGACGGAGAAACAACGACTAACGTTTTTAGCCTGCACTAATGCTAATGGTTCACACAAAATAAAGCCACTGGTAATTGGGAAAGCAAAAAATCCGCGCTCATTTAAAAATGTTAATATCCCTGTTGATTATGACTGTTCAAAAACCGCTTGGATGACTAGCAGTATATTCCTGAAATGGTTCCACAGGTGCTTTGTCCCTCAGGTATGACAATCAATTATCACAAATGCTCTATTCATAATTTGAAGATGTGTTTTCAATTTGTAGGTAAAAGGTTTCCTAAAACAACAGAAGCTTCCAATAAAAGCGTTGTTACTATTGGATAATGCACCAAGTCATCCTCCCGAGCAACAACTGAGGAGCAGGGATGGGTCAATTTTCGTCATGTACATGGCGCCCAACGTAACACCGTTAATTCAACCGATGGACCAGAATATAAGAAGACTCACCAAACTATACAATAGGAAGTTTCTACTTTCATCTGTCTTATCAAAGAATCCTGAAAACTTATCTGAGGCTTTAAAAAAAGTAACATTACAAGAAGCTGTTTTAGATTTACATATGGCCTGGAATGAACTTAACCAGCAAACTATTCAAAAATGTTGGAACAATCTCTTTTGTACCAATAATGAAGATGATGAAGAAGACGATGTCCCCTTAAGTGTAATTAGAGAACGTTTGCGATCCAATAATGATAATGTTATTAGTGTGTCATTGGATGTTGTTGATTTATTGAAAACAGTGAATCCCAACATTGTTTGTACTCCTGCTGATATTAATTTATGGAACGAAGATAAGCAGACGAATGATGCTGATAAGGAGAAGGATATGGACAGTGAGGATGATGAGAACGATCCCATTGAAGTCAGAAGTGTAGTGACTGACGCGCAAGCTATACAAGTTTTTAACCAAGCTTTAGATTGGGCTGAAAGAAAAGAAGTTTCATACACGGATATTTTAGTTCTTCGTAAATTACGGGCGCAGGCATTGGAAGACAATGCTAAGCGCAAATTTACGCAGACAAAAATTGTAAATTATTTTTCTTCTAATTAAAAAAATACATATAGCTGTTAGGATATTTGTTTATTTTGTTATAAATAGTATGTATTAAACGTTTCTTTTAATAAATCAAATATTATATAAATCACGTTCGCTAATGTAAACATTTCGATAATGTGAACCACACTTAGTTTACATTATCGAGCGTCTGCTGTATATACAGGGCAAACAGCCTGTATTTTGAAAAGTACACCACTTGGATTTTTTTTATTTTTCTAATAACTATTATGACCATACAGGTAGAGATAATATTGATATTTTCCCAGGCCAGAATCATTTTGACGTACTACCCGAAGGCTGGATTCAACTGACGCATAACAGCGGAATGCCTCTATACCTCCACAAAACCACCAGGGTGTGTACCCTTTCCAGGCCGTACTTCTTGGGACCAGGCTCTGCCAGGAAACATCAGATCCCTCTCAGCGCGATACCATGTCTTAGCTACAGAAAAGCATTGAAGCAGGAGAATGAGAAACCGGAAGAGACTACCTCCACAATTGTTGGTGCAAACGGTAATAATTTCTGGTAATTTTATTTACATATTTGCAGGAAAAAAAATTAGTTGTAGATTTCGTCATTCATCCAAAGTCGATCACAGGCGGCGTCACGTCAATTAATCCAACACTCGGCGGTTTTGGGGTCAGAAAAATTGATAATACGCCGATATTTGGCATGGTTGTAGTTGATGTTACTATTGACTATCTAGCCAACCTATACTAGCGGGTGATTTTTTAAGAGGTATAGGATTTGATTTTCAAAAAACACACAAAAAATTTGAAAAAACGATTAAATCTTTATTTGAGTCGATAGAACGGTCGATATAATTTAATGTTTACAGATTATTTCATGTAAATGCTGGTCGCGGCTCCGCTTTAGATGGCCTATGCGCAAGGTCCAATTTTGGCATACTCTCTCCAACATATCGGCAAGTATCTCACGAATAAATGCTTCAATATGGGCTTCCAGTGCGTCAATCGTTGCTGGTTTGTCCCTGTAGACATTAGCCTTAACACGACCCCACAAGAAATAGTCCAGCGGCGTTAAATCACACGATCTAGGCGGCCAATTGACGGGCCCCAAACGTGAGATAAACTGTTCACCGAACTCGCCTCTCAATAGGAACATAATGTTTCGTGTGCGGTGTGGCATGTGGCACCATCTTGTTGAAACCACATGTCAGCCAAGTCCAGCTCTTCCATTTTGGGCAAAAAAAAGTTTGTTATCATCGCACAGTAGCGCTCGCCATTCACAGTTACGTTCCGGCCATTGTCGTGTTTGAAGAAGTACGATGATGCCACCGGCCCATAATCCACACCGAACAGTGATTTTTTCGGAATGCATTGGTAGCTCTTGCAATGCTTCTGGCTGGTCTTCACTCCAGATGCGGCAATTTTGCTTGTTAACGTACCCATTCAACCAGAAATGATCTTCGTCGCTGAACAAAATTTTTCGATAAAAACGTGGATCTTCCTCCAACTTTGCCAGCGCCCATTCACCAAATTGGAAACATTGTGGGAGGTCGTGTGGCTTCAATTCTTGCACCATCTGTATCTTTAAGGTTTTACACCCAAATCCTGTCGCAAAATTTTCCACGTAGTGGAGTAACAGAGGCCCAATTGCTGCGAACGGCGGCGAATCGACATTTCACGGTCATCACTAACACTGCCGGATACAGCCGCAATATTTTCTTCAGTCCTCACTCTGCGTCTGCGTGTTGGTGGTTTAATGTCCAATAATGTAAACTGGGTTCGAAATTTAGTCACAAGCTTCCGAATAGCTCCCTCAGTAGGCCGACCAAATTGCCCATAAATTGGAAGCAGTGCTCGATGCACTATCTTAAGCGAGCATAAAATTCAATAATTTGCAAGCGTTGTTCGTTCGTAAGTCGATTCATGGTTAAATTATAGACCAAACTGAAAAAGTTTGACAATGACACAAGACACGATTCACGCGTCATCTGTCAAAAACAGTGTTGCCAAAAAGATACTAGCAAAAAAATCACCCATTATATTACAGCGTCTAAAATGGTGTCCGAGGTGAAATAAGATATACCATCTATAGTCTAATCTCTAATCATATTAGAGGAAAATACCCCTGGTTTGCGAAATAATTGTAAAGTCTGGTTTTATTGGTGCATGTTGTTCAAGGGGGTATTTAAAACATGGTCGCATAAAATGGGTACGCCAATTTTTCTGGGATAGCTTTTTATTCGACAACAAAGAATGAGAAAACGTGTTTTTTGCGATTCAATCGAAAGTGTTGGAAAGAGAAATATTATTTTTGTCTCTTGCAATGCGCTTTGCACAGGAAACGAACAAGCCATCCCGAACGCGAGGATTGAAACGGTGCAGGACAATCTCCAGATGCAGAACCTGAGCCCTGAAGATGTCAGACAGTATTGCGAGTCACTATTCAAGTTCCAAGCGCTCAAGGTGCTGCGTTTCAAATCGTGGTCGGAGAGAAGGAAATATTCGAAGAAGCGGAAACAGGAGAAGCAACTTCATAGGTGCGTAGACCGCCATTTTTGCGCTAAATCTTTTTACAAGCTCGTAAGTTTACTGCGGTCTGTCCTTTTGCAGCTATGAGGAATAAAAGTAAAATTTTCCTACTGTGGGAAATTGTCAAAAACACTTTCATGTCCATGGTGAATTCTGTCTCTGTAACCAATACTAACATTATACAACGCTGTTTCGTGCTTTTTAGCAATCATCAATACGGTATAGGTCTAGTTCAAGAGGCAGACGAACGGAAAGCAAAGACGCGAATATGAACTACTGAGAGATTCACTATACATTTTAATTTAAATATTTCAGAAAAAAATTCCTGGGAGGCAAAATGAAGGCGATCTTAACCATGACCTTTAAGGTTATTTCATAGTCAAGTGAACAAATTTTTTACATAGGAGTTGAAAAGAGAAGGAATTTTTACGTCCGTGTATGACTATCACAATGACCTTGATTATTTTCTTCAAGGCCATTTCAAGGTCTAATCAAGACGTTGAAAACAATTTGTTCTAACAAAAATGTTCGACAGCACAGTTGCAATGCTTGTGAGTATCACCCAAATGTGACCTTGACGATGTCCTTCAAGGTCAAGTTAAAATTTCCAAAGAAAGCCTTTCATTGGGAACACATTATTTAGGTTAAGGTGACATTCGGACGTATAAAAATTAGAGATTTTCGTTGGAAACAGGCTTGACCTTGAGAGTCATGGTCAAGGTTACTTTTGGATGATGCCACAAACCTCACAATTGTGCTAGAGCAAATTGTTTTTGATGCCTTGATTTGGCCTTGTAGGCCATTATCAAGGTCCTGGCCAAGGTGATATTCAGACTTAAGATAAAAGGAGGTTCCATTTGTGAATATTCACTTGGTCAAGGTCATTGTCAATATTCGTTCCAAACTGTTTTTCAAAAATGTGCAATTTTCGAAATATTTGAGTAGGACGGAACCCTCTAGGGATAGTTTAGACTCATTTTGATTGTCATTTGATACTTGTTTGTTTTGATCTTAATAATTACCCCATCATTTAAAAACCGCTCTATAGGCCGACTTTACCGGATGGTACCAAGCTGATAACGTTCCCGATCCGAAGCACCGACGGTTCGGAACCGACGAGCAGCAAAAAGGAGTTCATAATGAACCCGAACGGAAAGTCGTACGTGTGCATCCTGCACGAGTACGTTCAGCATGCTCTTAAGAAACAACCTACGTATCAATTTACGGAGTTGGAAAACGCGGCCACGCCGTATGCGGCTACAGTCATCATACAAGACATGAAGGTAAGGGCCTATTAAACCACTGACTAACACATACCGGAAGATGCCCGATAATAAGCTTACAAGTATATATAGTAGGGACAAAAGTTTGGAAACATTCTTAGTAATTTTTAAAAAGTGCGCCAATTTTTCATTCTTTATTATTAAGGACTATTTTTTCCTCATATAGTTTGCTTACAGTCATGAAGATACAAATGAAAATTTATGTTTGCTGTGGTACTACAGACTAGCACTAAAATACCTTCATATTATTTTATGACCAAACATGAGACGACAAAAGTATGGAAACATATTTTTTATTACAAAATTAAATACAATAACTCTACAAAAACATTTAAAAAATACTGGTTAGCCAGGGGCTGCTGGCCCTTAAGTTCTGCAGAGCTGCAGATCTGCCAAAACTTTTGTCTTAAGAGAAAAAAACAGGAGTAATTTGATCATTATTTAGTTTCCATGTTATCACAAATAGAAAGAGTTATGTAATCATCATAATTATTTTCAACATGGATCAGACATTCCAGTATAATATATGCATGGTACACTTAAAATTTTTAGATAAATAAATGTCATCTTGCAACACTTTGAAATGTAAGTTTGCTATTATTCTCTTGAATTAGTAGTGGTAGAAAGATTTATTTAGCACATTTGGCTACGTAAACAACTTAGAACTAGTAAATTCAAGATATGATGTATGATGTAAATGGTGGGCAACCTATAATTGTAGATTTAATAAGTGATTTCTCAGTTTTACTTTAAATTTTATCAAAGTTTTCTGGTCTTTTATTTCTGTGTATAATTTATTATATTCAATCAACCCTTGATGGAATACAGATTTGTAGCATAATATGTTATACTTTTTGGTCATTAAATGGAAGTCATCTTTATTTCTGGTATTATGTAAATGATGGTCGACATTTAATTATGTTAAATTAGTTAGACTTGATGGAAATATATTATTTTTTACTTTATAAATGAAAATCATTACAAGATATTTGATAAAAAATTTTACTTTGAGCCATTTTAATTTGCTAAGCATTTGCCTAATTGGAGTTTATTTATCTTTATTCAGTATTATTCTCATGCACTTATTTTGTAAAATTTGCAGTCTTTCAAAAATGGTATTAGTTGCGAAATATAGAATAGTCGAACAGTACAAGAAATTTGGAAGAATGATGGTATTATAGACAATTTTTCTGCTATATGAACTCAGACATCCAGAAACTCTCGATAAATATCCCACTTTACTACTAATCTTATTTATAACTTTTTCATAATGAATATCAAAAATTAATCGAGAGTCAACAAAAACCCCCAGGTATTTGAAATTTTCTACGAATTCAATATCTTCACCATCAATATTCAGTTGAACATTTGTACATTGTTTTTTCCGATTAACAAGGCTTTCGTTTTACTTGTATTTAATTTTAGTCTGTTAGATGCTAACCATTTTGAGACAAGCTTCAAGTCTTCATTTATATAAGAGATACCAGACTGAATATTTTTGGTACTTATATAAATCATAGTGTCATCGGCGAAAATCTGAATTTTGCATTTTTTGACTATGGCAGGTAACTCATTTATGTATAAAATAAAAAGAAGTGGTCCCAGGATACTGCCCTGTAGAACACCCAACGTATTTTCAATTTTTGATGAAATAGTGTCATTAACTTTTGTAACTTGCATCCTTTTAGACAAATAATTTCTAAACCAATCTAAAACTCTTCCTGATATACCATATGCCTTCAATCTTCCTAACAAAATATCTCTATGAATCGTTTCAAATGCCCTCTTCAAATCCAAAAATACTGCTATGACAACATCTTCTGAGTCTATGGCTCTTCTCCAATTCTCAGTTACAAACTGGAAAGCCGTTTCTGTGGAATATTTTTTTCGAAAGCCTGCTTGCGCCTCCACTAAAATTTTGTTTTCTTCTATAATCTGCAATAATTGGTCATGGACTATAATGATTTTTCAATGTCTGGTAATACATTTACTGGTCTCATATCGCTGCATCTTTTTGAATTTTTTATTTTGGGAACTGGTGTTATTGTAGAGCATTTCAAATTTTCAGGAAAAGAACTGCTTCTCAGTGAAAAATTGATCCAATTTAATACAGGATATCCCAAAATTTCGAAACAGTTTTTCAGCACGTTTTTAGTAGTGATTTCGGCACAATTGTTATTTGAATTGCCTCTGAGCAGCACCTTTGATACATCGGATGAAATGATCGAGCATTTCATGAATGACAGCATTGCTTGAAATAGCGAACTAAATTTGACCATAACGTTAAATCGTCAACGTTTAACGATTTGGTCACCCAGGATTGATCATACCGTAATATGGGATATTTAATAAAATTCTAGAATATGTTACGAACTCGTTTATTGTTCTTTCAGTAAGACATCCATTTTGATTAAATGTTTGATTATGGGGTATATACAGTTTTTTTAACCGATTGATTGTAGTATGGCACGGGATATGGAACCAGCAAGAAACAAGCAAAATCGGAGGCAGCACGAGTTACCTTGGAGATTCTCATTCCAGAGATGAAGGCCAAGATCACAAATGATAATGAGGGTAAGTTTAAGTCTAAGAAAAATATATTATTACATTGAAGTTTTTCGGCGTTTTTTGGGTTTTTTTTGTCCAATAAAACAAATATTAACTACATATTTAAAAGCTACTTAAAAAACTAGCCTATTACCAAAGCGTCTGCTCGTGACAACAGAATACTCAATGGAAAATTTCAAAAGTTTAAAGCCGTAAAACCAATTATACGAAGAATATTCCAGTTTTTCGCTGAGAGAAACAGCTCCGTACTTATGTAATTCTCATTATTATTGTATTACCATCACCCTTCTAAAAACTACAGAAATGAGTGAACCACGGCAACCCCTTTTTAAGAAGCGCAGTGCTTACCGCAAAAAAATGCATTGTCCAGAGGATTAGCATAAACTACCGGTTGAATCACGATCACTTCATGGCCGAAAAGTTTCTTTCAATGGATTTTCAGGACTGACCATCCCGTCCAGGGACACGTGACTTCACAGCGACTGACCGGTCGTTAGCCCAGGATTAGACATTGTCTACCTTGTGCGATATATGTACATATAATTACCTGCTTTTTATTATCCATATAGCACACGTTTCTTTTTTTTCACCAGATTTCCACTCGAATACCCCAGTATATTGAAATCAGAAGTGCAGCTCGCTATTAGTGGACATCACAACTAACTGATTATCACAAATAATATTTTTCACTACTAACAGGCAATGCCCTCTCCATAGGTAAATAAAGATGACTAAAAAATGGCATCAAGTAGGTTGACTCTGTACCTCTCACGCAATTCTGGACAGATGAACTTTGTATTGCGTCATGTATCTATAAGTATTGGTATCCTCGACGTACGTTTCTGCTTTCTGAAGGAAAATAAGGATGGAAAGAGAATTACAACTAGAAGCCACTAACATGAGCCAGCAGGCACATCTGTGGCATCGATCAGAAGATCTCGTGTTTTTTTCTCTGCCGCCACTAGACCTATTTTCAAAAACCACAAAGCGTCCTTGGCACAGTAGCAACATTGTGTAAAAATTTCATTGAAGTCCAAACTATAAGCGGTTATAGGACTAGCGGACAGACCGACCGAAGGAAATGAATGACATGGTTTTTCGTAATATACATGTCATATAACATCCGAAAGACATAATACCCCATATTCGAAATTTTTCGCGATTGCAATACTTCCTCGTCAGTAGGCGTGAGAAGTAAAAATCGTCATTCATTTGTCAAAAATTTGAATGCTGTATAGTATCTCAATCAACTTTCCTACTTTCTAGTAGGTTTACTCGTACTATTGGTCGGCTATGGAAACGCTTACAGCTGGTTATGTAATATAATAATACTCGTATATATAAATAATATCATTGGAGAAAAAATGCATCCTATTTTTTTTAATAGTCGAGGGCAACTTCCTTACGCCTCGTCATTATTTGCTTCCAGAAAATGTACTAAAAATAAATAATATTTTCCATTCCACGAAATTTTTTCATATTGTATACTAAGTGACATATAAATCCGAACACCCAGTTTAAATGGTTTTATTTTAATAAAAGTTGGTGAATGTATTTATCTTACTGTAAATAACAACTGAAAAAATTTTCAGCCTTATCAGTTGGACATTCCGGTTTTTATACTGCTTTTTTTTTAATTCACTAACGCTCTAAAAATGAATATTTCAGCCGCAGTAAAGAATCAACGTTGGCGGATTTTGTTTCTTGACATCCTTTACGATCGGTTACGATGCCTAGAGTACGGAGACCTGTACGATTTCGTCAACTTAATGAGTTTGATAGGGGCCGTATAGTGGGACTTTCTTTTCGGGCAATTGCAGTTAGAGTGCAAAGAAGTTTAGACACTGTGGTTAGGTGTTGCCAGGCATGGCTTCGAGAAGGCCGTACGCAAAGAGCAAGGGGCACTGGACGCCGCCGTAGAACAACAGACCGTGAAGATCGCCGCCTAAGATTATTGGCCTTAAGGGACCGTTTCTCCACTACCAGGTCCATTGCAAATGAATGTTTTGCAGAACACGGAAGACCTATTGGCATGCGAAGTGTTTACCGACGAATGAGAAGTTTTGGCTTGTTTTCATACCGGCCACACTGGGTCCTCCCTTTAACTCGAGAACACCGACGTAATCGCCTTGAGTGGTGCAGACAACGGTCACTCTGGGATCAGGAATGGAACAGTATTGTCTTTAATGACGAGTCTCGATTTTGTTTAGGCATGCACGATAGTCGCGCCAGGGTTAGAAGGCGACGTGGTGAAAGGAGGAATCCACAGTTTTTTGTTGAAAGACATGTTCATCACACTGTTGGAGTTATGGTTTGGGGTGCTATAGCTTATGGTTCCAGGTCACCTTTAATCTTCATCAGAGGTAATATGAACGCGCAGCGTTATATCCACGAAGTTCTAGAACCCCATCTTTTACCCTATCTTGACACCCTGGCAGATCCAACTTTCCAACAAGATAATGCCCGACCACATGTTGCAAGAGTCACAATAGACTTCTTTCAACATAATGATGCCACATTGTTACCATGGCCACCAAGATCTCCAGACTTATCCCCAATTGAGCACGTGTGGGATATGATGGGTAGGAGATAGCTCAATTTGCAACGTCCTCCTCAGACTCTAGAAGCACTTCGAGAGGAGTTGGTGGTTGCCTGGAATGAGATACCACAGGAGGACATTGACCACCTGATCAGAAGCATGCCTAGGCGCGTTGGAGAATGCGTAGCACATCAGGGTGCATCCACACATTATTAAAGGTCAAAGGGCTTTAAAGCAGTACAATCATTTTGAAATTTTTATCATTTACTTATTATGCTTCATTAACGACTTATACAAAATTGTATTAAAATAAAACCATTTAAATTGGGTGTTCGGATTTATATGTCACTTAGTATATTAGAAATGACTGGTGAGCCGTGAACGTCTGTTCAATATTTGATACGTGAATAACTACAGCCCTAATGCTGTCACCCTATATAATTACAGTGGAATCCACTTGAACTTGCTTATAATGGAAACCCGTATATAATGGACACAATTTAAGGTGCTATAAATAATTGCATGTAAAATCCTCGGATATTATAGACTCGCTTAAAATAGACCCTCGCTTTTAGGGGACTATTTTAATCCATCATATGCGAGCTATTTTGGTAGTTCCCCGTCATGTCGAAAAATGCGAAACGTGCATTCACTTTACACGAAGAGTTCACAATAATTAGTGAGCTTGAGCAGGGTTCATCTCAAGCAAATATATGTGATCGTATGGCTATAAAAAAATCCACCGTGTTAAATATTTGGAAAAACCGTGACAAAATTAAAAATGACTGGAAATCAAATAGTCAAAAAAAAGCGGCTATCGCTGCATCCCCAAGTCGATGATATGCTGTTTAAATGTTTTCAACAGAAGCGTGGTAATAATTTGCTACAAATAAAGGCTGAAGAATTTGGGAAATTGATTGGAGATTACTTCAAATGTAGTTCCAGGTTTAAGAAAAGACATAACATTCTTTTCGGAAAAATGTGTGGAGAGTCAGCTTCAGCTGACACGAACGTTACCAATAACTGGATTTCTCAAGTTTGGCCCGTAATATCCAGTGATTATTCAGATGATAACATATTCAATGCAGATGAAACCGGGATATTTTATAGAATGCTACCAGATAAAACTCATAAATTAAAACGTGAAACTTGCAATGGAAGGAAACTATCAAAAGAGCGAATAACTGTTATGATTTGTACTAATGCTTCTGGTACTGAAAAACGGAAACTATTGTTAATAGGTAAGTGAATGAATAGAAATTCATGTCCTATTTTTTTTTTTGATATTCAATGGCGGTGCTGCAAAGAATTTATGATCTTTTTTTATTTCAGAGAAATTTAAGAATCCCAGGTGTTTCATAAATGTTAAAACAATTCCCGCCGATTATGTTGTAAATAATAAAGCTTGGATGACTTATCAATTTTTGAAGAATATTTAAAAAAGTGGGACGCTGAACTTGTTGAGAATAATCGTAAAATTTTGCTCTTGGTCGATAACTTCCTCGCTCATCCAAATGTTTCATTTAAGAACATCAACCTTCAATTTTTTCTACCCAATGTGACATCAGTTCTGCATCCAATGGTCCAGGGTATCATCTGGAGTCTTAAACAAATGTATCGGAAACATATGTGACAATTATGGAGCTTCACGAAAATGTCAACATTACCAAAGCTGTCACCATTTTAGATGCTATAAATTTGCTTACTATTGAATGGGAATTGGTTATGCCAGAAACGATTCGTAATGGTTTTCGCCATGCTGGTTTAGTGACAAACATATCAGAAATAATCAGGATTTTAATCCAGAAGATGAAATTCCATTAAGTGATTTACTGAAAATTAATAGTTTACAGACAAATTTAATGAGTATGTAAATGTTGACAATAATTTAATAGCAACACAGTAATTGTCAGACTCCAATTTGGTTAATGAAGGATCCGTTGATAACGAACAGGAAGACGAACTAGAAAACAACGTTGAAGAAGAGCTTCCAGTGACAACTAAGGAGGTATTAGACTGCGTGAAAAAGTTGCAACGTTATTTTTAGCAAGAAATAAAATTCAACTTGCTGTTCTAAATAATTATACAAAAATCTGTTCAAATGAAAATTCCTAACTTTTTTACCAAATAATTCACGGTTTTTACACATACCTACACAGTACGTATACCTGCAATATGTGTATCAGATTCTGAAAAAATGCAAATTTCAAAATTACATATAACTTTTTTGTATGTATCTTTATTTATGTAATACATGTTAAACAAACACATTTTAAGCCTTTAATATGTTATTTCTGCTGCTTTTTTCGTAAAAAAATGTGTTTCTTTTAAGATTGTCATCCGCCTATAATTGACTATTTCCCGCCGAGTCCATTATAAGCAGGTTGTACTGTATTTATATTCAATAAATTATATTTGAGCAGAGAAAATGATAGGTAACCGCAACAATACGTATTTCCGCTGGCTAGCTCCAAGAGACCCGAAATGAATGCACTTAAATGTAACTACAAAAGTAGACACACATGCCCTTACATACGATAAGATGAAGGGGAAAAAACGACACCAACAAGAGCCAATCTACACATTGTGGTATAATAGTCAGAAGACCTCGAGTGCCCAAGGCGACATCTAACCACAATCGCCGCGTGATTTTGACATTGTAACATTAATGCTAAATAAATGTTTAACAAACAAAATAAAATACTTTGTTGATATCGATCATTGTATCCCTCGAAGGCTTACTTCTCAACCTAGGTATGTAATGTACTATTTCAATGCAGGTGAAGCAATTCGTAAACAGAAAGACCAAGACCTGTCGTTCTTCGACGAGATCCGCGTAGAGGATCCTAGAGTGGCAGAATTCTGCGCGAAAACTACAGAACCGTCTCCGTACGACATCCTTCTTACATGTTTGCAGCGAAACTTCGGCTTGGACGATCTGCAAATCAGCTACCAAGGAAATAACGCTGGACATCAGGTATTATACTTATTTCAATTTCTCGTTTCAGTTTTTTACTTAAATCATTGACTATTATTATATGAGAATAACCAAAAACATAACGAGCATTTTTTACACCGAAACAGTCGCGCAGGCAGATGCATAAATGCCCCTGTGGATCGCTGGTGCCGGAAACTATACTGCCGTGACGTTCGAGGTACTCCGGTTTATGCATGTAGTTGTCAGGGGCGGTCTTAGATCCTTTTTTGGGATGGATTGGACATGAGCAAATTTCCAGTTTTCTGTGAAAGTGCCGGAGCCGTAAGATATCTGGACATTTTTACATATGTACTTTGACAAGTGAATAGTTCACTTTTCTCTTGGACTGAGCTACTCACTTGTAAATTAATGTAGAGCTACATATGTACGCATTTCCTTTTCAGGGTAACGAATTCACGATGGTGGTGGGCAAACATAAAGCTACAGTCCAGTGCAAAAATAAAAGAGATGGTAAACAGAGGGCGTCTCAGGCCATTTTACAAGCATTGCATCCTAGTATTACCTCTTGGGGATCATTACTAAGACTCTACGGAAATCGGTGAGTTTTAAAAGGCAAAATTCATTTCTTGAAGTCATTGACGAAATTTTGTCGCAGTAGGGAATAAGCACGATTTTCTGTATTGTATTGTCTATCGATTATTTCATTAGTGGAAATGCCTTTAAGAAGATATTTAAAACTGCCATGCCAATAACGTTGATTTAAACGCAGCATTTTGGCGGGCTTCGCAATGACGTCACCGTCCGCGATATGTCATTTGATTGTCTTTTTGCTTATTTTGCTGTCGAGTTTTTGACATACTGAGATTACAAAGTATTCATAGGTAATGTTTATTACTATACTATAACTATCTAAAACTGTAATGACTCATCGATGTTCACGTGAACATCACTTAACTACCAGTAGTCGGCTGTTCATAGGCGGGGTATGAATGTTTAACATGGGTGAACCAGATTTGCCACATGCTTAATAAAGAGTGGTTTGAAACATATTGTAAGTCAAAAATTTGGGAATTACCTTTATTCATCGTCGCTTCCACTTACATCTGACAGTAATAAACTGTCGCTATCGCTTTCCTCGTTGAAATTGACTATAACTGGCTCTATGATGGTGTCGATGTGGTGGTCAAGCTGCCACATTTTTGTTTCTTCCTTCACAACATGACGGATAGCATTCTGCCAAGCTTCGGGCGTTACTAGCTGTATGGAAGTCTCAAGTAAAACCTTAACGCCTGGTAATTTGAAGGTTGTGTTATGGCGCGCAATATAACCCTTCACTTAAGCCCAGATGAGCTCTATTGGGTTCAGTTCACAGTGGTAGGGCGGTAACCGCAGCACAGTAACACCACATTGACGGGCCATCTCATCAGTCACGCAACTAATGTTCGCAGGTTTGTGCTGTTTAATTTTTTCATACAATTCCGCTTTCACACATGAATCGTCAAACGGGATTCCTTTTTCTCGCAACCATTGCTGCATGTCACTTTTTCGAGATCCCATAGTCGATACACGTTCGGCTCGACGACTATGGTAGGAAGCATTATCCATGACGATCACAGAGTTGGGCTCAACTCGCTGAAGCACCCCTTGAAACCAGCTCTCGAAGCAGTTGACATTCATTTCGTCATGGTAATCACCTCCTTTCTTAGAGACGAAAATCAAGTCACACTCTTCTAAAAAGCCACTATCGCTACCAATATGAGTTACGATCAATCTTTGACCTTTCGCTGACGGTCCACGAAGACCTGTTGACAAACCTTCAATGCTTGCTTGTCGGTTACTCACTACGTTTTTGTCTATCCAGGTTTTTTTAACTATGTGACCTGCATTTACCCATGTCTCGTCCAAATAATAGATTTTTCTGATTTGACGCCTATATTCAATCATTTCGCGTAGGTATTTTCGACGCCAGGCGACTATTTCAGGTCTCTCTATCAATACTGACTTCCGATTACGCGTTTCGTAACGAAAATTAATTTCGTGCAGGGATTTCCTCATTACCTCGACGCTCATTTGGGGTATAATTTCATTTTCCTTGATCGCTGCATGTACAGCCTTGAGGGTTGGTATCTCATTCCTAAAGAAGAATGAATGTACGGTTCGCCTTAACGCCATTTTGCTATCGTCATCCAATTTAACGGCCTTTCGTCCCTTCAAATTAAACTTTGGATCAGTAGTAGCTCCAGTTTTCTTCTTTTCATGCACCACACTGCGAATGGTCCACTCTGGAACGCCTTTCATACTTTCACAACGCGCGAGTGCATCTCCCTGCGACATAGTTCTGTTCAGATAATTTAACACGTTGAGCACGATTTCTTTCGCGTCCCTCTTCAGTGCTTTACGAAGCCGTCTACTTGTTCCCTAGCTTTCAGTACTTCCACTTGTGCCATTTGTACTCTCCATGGTTAAGTATAACCAAAACAGTAACCACAGAAACCACAACAATAACAATCACACAACAATTCTTATAAAAACACACAATATGCGATCGCTCAACGAAACACGTTCCAATGCGTTGCCGACGCCTATGAGTCTGCCGGTCGAGGCACGTCTTTGATTTCATTGGTTCTACCGGCGGAGAACAATCAGCCATTATTTCCATCTCTGTCTGTGCTGTTGACCACCGCAAAGCCACAGAAACGACATATATCGTACGCTATACGGCAGTACTGGAAGGAAGCCGGGATCGAGCACTGATCACGTGTTGATCACGCGTATGAGTCATTACAGTTTTAACTAGTTGTAGTATAGAAATTACATTGTAAAGCTGGAAAATATCAAACATCAAATTTACAGGTTGACATGACGCCTGTCATTTCAAATCGAAATCACCATTCATCAAATGGCCAATGACATTCAAGTTTACTGCGTATCCTTTCCATTTTTTAATAATTCAAACTTTTTTTGTTGTTGAAGATTTATTTAGCATTAATGCTACAATGTCAATTTTGTATAATGATTCGGTTACGTATTTTTCTTCAATCACTTTTCTGTAATTTTACATTCTTGTCTATTAAAAATTACGTCACGATGTACTTTGATTATTCATAAAGTGATTTTTAAATTTCACCTTACACATTTTTAAATTCGAACCCTGTTTAATATCAGTATTCAACTTATTAAATTCAAACACTCCCTTTTGAAATACAGATTTACTAGTTATGCTACTATTACAATTTTGCAGATGAAAATCTATACTGCCTCTAGTTTCGTAGTTATGATAATGGCTATTTAATTTTGTGAAGTTCTCTAAATGTGGTGGTAATAAATGATCTTTTAATTTGAATTTGAAAACGAGAACTAAATAATATATGAAATTTTTTACATCCAACCACTGCAGTTCTTCTAACGTAGACTTAATCCTAGCATATTCGTTTTTATTTAAAATGATTCTCATAGCTTTATTTTGTAGAATTTGTAATTTTGAAAATATGTTTTCATTTGCTGTATACAAGATGGTTAAACAATATAAATGGGGAAGAATTATAGTGTTATACACATTTTTTTTTCGAATACATACTAAGATTATGGGAATCTTATAGAAGTAATTTATCTTTTTAGAAATTTTTGAAATAATGTATTCATGATGTTCGTGAAACAGTAGCTTACTATCCACATATTATATACCAAGATATTTAAATGACTCGACTACTTCAATTTTTTCAACATTAATCATGAGCCTAATTGTATCGTCACCTAAATGTTTTCCTATTGACATACATTTTGTTTTATTAGTGTTTAATTCAAGTTTATTGACATTTAACCAATTCACAATTTTTTCAATGTCACTATTCAACAGTTCTAAAGCAGTGTCCAAATGCTTATGTGCTATATATATATATATAAGAATTTCGTCTGCAAATATTTGAATTTTGCAGTGTTCTAAAATGTCAGAGATATCATTTATATAAATAATAAATACTAACGGCCCTAATTTACTCCCCTGTGGCACCCCTACTGATATATTTTGAACACTTGACATAATATTTCCAACTTTAGTTTTTGACTTCTATTTACCAAATAATTTTGTAAAATGTGTAATACTGATCCTTTAAAGCCATAGTGACGCAATTTCATTAACAATTTTTCCCTATCTATAGTCTCAAATGCCCTATTGAAGTCTAAAAATATGAGATAGGGGAACTATGTAGCAATATAGGCTGTAAATAAAAATAATTAAGCGATATTTCAAGCACATGCATATTCCCTTGTGTCAAAAGGTTTCTCAAAATTTTAGTCGAACAATAATCAAACTGTAAACATCGCTGAGGGGGGAATTTGAAGAATTTTATTTATACAACAACACTGACACTTCTAGATTCTGTTACTATAAACAAAGACAATATTTTTCCGTTGGTTCTACTTGAAAACGAAAAACCCGAGATACCTACTGGGACACCCTCAAGCTCGTGTGAGGCACCGAGTGGACCTACTTGATTTCATTTTTGCAGGTCAATCAAAGGGTTCAAAGAGAAAAAAATGGAAGAGCAGGAAATCACCTCTTTGCAAAGCAAGGCTGCTGTGAATCAGCCTAACTATGCCATATTGAACAAGTTGTTCGTAGAATTGGGTAAGCTTAAAGAAAAAAAGGCTGAGCGAACCGCCGCTGGACTGAACCAGACTATGACTGTTCCAAAGACAAATCTGAAAAACGTCGACTTATGATTCATGTTAGGTTTAGGTGTAACATTGAACATAGAAATCAAATACATTATTTATCATGATACTTCAACACATTTAAGTGCCCATTGTATTAATTTTGTACTGTTGGTCATGATCTGTTGAAATTATAATATGTCTTAGTTATCTTAAAAAATATGATTAGCGGCTATATCGATTGGTCCTTTATGAACTTTCTAAAGTACACTACTGGCCAGAAAAACATTTTTCGGTGATTTTTGACAGGCTGTATTTCGGTAAAAAATGGTCGTATTTAGACTTTAAAAAAGGCATTTCGGAGTTTCAAGATTCTTGTTTTCAGGTTCAATAGCCTAAACAGTTTAGGAGCAACGGTTCTCATGCAGTTCTAACAGATAGCGCAAGGATTTTCTTTTGCAAAATGTTTGCCTCTCTTTTGTCCACGGTTTTTTTTTGTTAAGCCATCATATGAATCAGAAAACTAGAATCTTAAAGCCTCAAAATGCATTTTTTAAGTCTACATACGACCATTTTTCACCGGAATACAACCTGTCAAAGATTACCGAAAAATTTGGATTTTTCTTGCTCCATTAATTTTTTTGAGTAGTGTGCTTTATGGAAAACAAGTCACATAAGAACGCCTGCAACGCTGGGAAGCCCATACAACAACAGCCCAGTTATCTATTGTCATGTTTTGATGTGTTGAGGTATCGTTAAAAAATAGTGTAAAATAGCGCTTATAGATGGACCAGAAAAAAAAGGTTGATGTTGAACTAGGAGCGGTTGAAGACAGTCATTGATTATAGTTATTAAATGTCCTAAGTAAGGAGTATCCTGGTGACAAAATATACAGATTACTAGAAGCAAAGTTAACTGGTAGGGGATCGCCACAAGTACACAAATACAAGCGTTAACACAAAAGAAACGGCAACAAATCCAGTTGCCTTCGCTGGTCGGTTTGCAGTTGCCCACCTGTTGATGAAACATGTATGGGCATGTCATTGTGACATGTCAGCTAAGGCTGAATATTGGTGATAGGATAAAGGTATTTCTGCATAGTTTCTGTGTAATGAAGTGATTAATTTGGAGCAGCATTGTTGAAAACCTTCAAAAAGAGATACAGCAACAAGTGGGTCAAGGAATAATGATCATCAGACTCAAAAAATATGTTTGCATACAGGGTGTTACTCTACGAAGATCCGATTATATCACATATATTTGTCGTGGGAGTTTTTGGTAAGCTGTTGATTGATTGATCTGACTAGATTTTATTTGTAAAATAGGTTGCTTATGCGATTTTGTTTCACTCTGTTGTAAAAACCAGTGGCGTATTAGGGGGGTGTCCTGAGGGGCCGGACCCATCAGTGTTTAAAAAAATTCGCCACGTGTTTTTCAATTTGCAGACGACCTCCCCCCCCCGCTATTTATTTTTAAATCGCCGATACCCTCGAAACGAGCATCTTCCAGGTCATAAATCCTGAGCCCCAACCCCCCAAATTCATCAGATGCACCCTCGGCAAATATATTTTCTATATCCGCTCCTGGTAAAACTGAATGCATGAAGTAAACAAGTAAAACCTAAACCCTATTTACGAGTATCTATTACGTTAAGCACACATAAAAAATATTAGAATTATTATGGAATTTATTGATTACGAGGTAAGTCAATAATAGCACAGACTGGGTTGTTCTTTCCAGTAGCTGTAATTTTACATGTTGAAATATAATATAGATACGTGTTTCTGGTTAATTTTCTGTCATCAGTGTAACTTAATTCAAATATGGCTGTTTCATTGCCTTTTAAAACCAAGTGTTTCAGGTTCTAAAAAGTAGAGATGATTAACAAAGTCAAAAACTGTTCATATTATTTTATTCCTACCTCACTTGGAATGTAGTGATGATCATTAGCAACCATTTTGGTTGCAGTGTTTTTTTTTGTAAGCGAAGATACTTTTCTAAATAAAGGAGTTGTTACAGAATGATTCAGTATAGTACAGTAGTACAACAAAATACTGCTCTGTCTAGCTGGCGTTGACGGATCCGCCAAAATTGTTTGTCACTTGTCGAATATGGGGAATTTATTACTTTTTTTCTATTTGAAAAATCAACACGCTTTTTACGAGGTGAAAACGAATTTTTTTTATTGATAAATGAAGGTTGGTTTATGTCATTTATGTATGAAAAATAATATCAGTCATGTGACCACCGCGGCTTCGTTTACAGGCCAACATCCGAACATCAAAATTTTCAATGACTTTCCCAGAATAATCGGGTCTATGACCGCAATTTCAGTCGGAATATTGCGCTTTAGGTCTTGAATTGTCCGGGGACCATTCGCATACACTTTTCCTTTCAAAAATCCCCAAAGAAAATAGTCAAGAGGTGTTAAATCGCACGATCTCGGGGGCCAACTGACATCTGAATTTCGTGACATTATGCGGTCTTGAAATTTCGTGTGCAATGAGGCGATTGTTTGGCGAGATGTGTGAGCCGTTGCTCCGTCTTGATGAAACCAAAGATCGTCGGCACCAATACGATCCAATTGTGGCTACAAAAAGTCTGTTAACATGCCGCGATAACGTTCCCCGTTGACGGTAATGGCCTTTTCAAAGAATAATGGTCCAACGATGCCACCAGCCCATAATCCGCACCAAACAGTCACTTGTTGGTTGTTCATGATATTGGTGTGGATTTTCAGCCCCCCAGAATCTGCAATTTTGCTTATTTACGTACCCATTGAGGTGAAAATGAGCCTCATCAGAAAAGAGCACTTTGGCCGAAAATCCGGCTTCTCTTTCCAGCATCCAATTAACAAAAACACGCCGCTATTGATGATCTGCCGGCTTCAATTCTTGTGTTAGTTGGATTTTGTATGGATGGAGGTGTAAATCAATGTGTAAAATCGGGCGTAAAGTGGTCTCACTAATTCCCAATTGTTGCGACCGGTGCCTAGTCGAGGTGGTTGGATCTTCTCGCACACTTTCACTCACTGCGGATATGTTTTCAAGAGCACGAGCTGGACGAGCATGTTGGTATGGCCTACGACCTTCAACTGAACCAGTTTCCTCAAAACGATTAACAATCCAACGAATTCCAGGCTCTGCAGGGCGTCCATGTCGGCCAAAACAAGTGCGAAGTTTGAGAAAAGTATTTTTTATATTTCGACCGTCTTCGTAATAAGTTTGGATAACCAAAATGCGTTGTTGTATTGTAAACGAATCCATGACTATAAATGGCATACCTTTGACAGTTTATGCACACCACATGACTTTTGACTCACATGGTACCACATAAACTTATAGGTAAAAAAAAGTAATAGATGGCGCACCCAGTATTATTAGATAATCAGCTGTAATTTTACCATAATGGATACTCGTGAAAAAGACAACAGAAAACCTTACATATTCGGGCATTTTGAGCGGCAAAGAGGTTGCGCTAGCCGAACAGGACCCGAACCTATTTACCTCGCGGACATTGGTTTTACTGCGAAGTAACCCTACTATTAGTAATTTGTATATTTTGGATCCTTAATTGCCCGAGAAATGTGTTAGATGTTGTCAACCGCACCTCGAACATTTTCAAAGAGTATTAGGTATAGGTAAGTAAGCTGTAAGCTACCTCTCATTTTTTTCGTTGCAATTAGGATTAGTTATTTTAATGTTTATGGTGCTAAATATATCTCTTATACAAGTAATTTTTTTCGCATTAATTAAGCTGTATAATTTTTTATAGTTTATCGAGTACAATTTTTCATTGGGTGACAATATTTTCTGCGAGTTCGATGTAGTTGTTCGTTATTCTATTGAATGGTAACCTCATTATGTAGGATAATAAGCAACACGAGTAATGATTGAAACTGTGATAAATATTTGAGAAATTTTAAGCTTCTCCATTGTAGGGTGGTCCCCAAAGACAGTGCAGCTTTTAAAACTTACAGTATATAACCCCTTGTAATTTTAAGTCTACAATCTAGCAGCATTAAATTCTGTACTACTTGGTACAGTACAAACACGCTTGATTCCAGTTCCCAGTTTGAATTTCCCAAAAAATGGTTGCTGCCTCTTTTGATCCAGCACTTTACAGTCACTGTGGACAGAAAGCCAACTGTGTTCCTCTTCTACATTACCATCATACAACACTATTTTATTGCAGGCGTTTTTTTCAGACCATTGTGTCTTGTTAAATGACCTGTAATTGTATAGAGTTTAGAAGAATACTTCAAACATTAGTTCTTTCCCATGCCTGCATACAGAGATTAAGTTCCAATATCCCTCGTGCTGTAGTCGTCTTACCCATAGTTTGACTTGGTTCCTGTGCTTTATTTCGCGTCCCAATGGAGAAACTTTCAGTTAGGATAACACAGTTTCAATTTACCTGATATAAGTGTACCTTCAATTATAGGTTGTAAAATACTTCTTCAAATATGATGTTTATTGTATGTATATGTTTGCATGTATTAAAATCCCTCAAAATACAGGGTGTTTCCTAATTGAAAGTAAATATTTAAGGGGGCGATTTCTGAGCCCATTTAAGAAGAAATCTTCATATAAACCTATGTTCTAAACGTCTTTTATAATAAATCATTTATTATTATACCTGTAAAACCACTTTAGATAATATCTAAATATTATTTAAATTAAAATTTTCGAAATCAGTCATTTCTAAGCAAATTTGATAACTCGTTTTTAATAATCCGATGTACGGTTTTCGCTTATAACCCGTTTTTCTGATCATAACAATATGGTTAATATGACAATGTTATCATTGAAAGAAATATATTGTATTTCTTTAGATGCAAGAGATCAAATTTGCACGTAAATTAACACATATTTCAATGTTTTATTTTTAAAAAAGTCAGAGGGGTGACAAATGATTTATCTTTGAAAACTTTACAATACTATCTCAAAAGTTCGACGTCACATGAGTCTAAAAACCGCTCCCTTAAACATTGGCATTGAATAAGGAAACATCCTGTATAGGTAAATAGATATATTCTTACATCTCTAGAGACAGTCAACAAACTAAGATAGGGGTCTCTGTTTTACCATTTTTTTTGTTATAGTCCATTTAGGGTGTTTCATGAAGATATATACGTACATACTGAGATTTGTTAGTAAAAAATTGGTTTGAATATGCGTTAAAGGTGATTTTTTTGTTTACCAGTATTAAAAGAACTTAATCTGAATGCCTTCCATTTTAGTGTGCCCCTTTCTTGACGAAACACTCTCTATTTTATTTGTAATTGCCGCCAATTTTGTTATTGTTATTTTTGATTTGTTGAACGAACTTGCTAAAATACAAACATATTATGTGTGTGTCCCAGAAGTCGACGTCAAGCCGAAACCAGGTGATAGGCAAAGTCATAACAGCTATCAGAAAAATATTTAAAAAAATTTTATGTATGTGTTTTGAAAATTATAGGTCTTTGAAAAAAATATAGAAATTTCATACCCTACGGCAGTTTGTCAACTCCTGTTACTACAAATATTAACTTTTTTTGGATTTTATTTTTACAATGTAATGATGAATAAAGCATCTTCAAACTGGTGTTTCAACCTTACTGCCAACTTTTCTCGTTCAGGAAAAATTGCCACTTATTTCCCAACCAAGTATTCCAAAGTAAAACTTTGCACAACTTTAACTGGCTGTACTGGAAAAAAATGTACTACGAGAGTTTGGCAAGTAACCTTAAAAGTTGGCGCATTTAATAAGGATTCCAAAATGGTTAACACTTAGAAGATTACTCGTTAACTTATGCACAATTTTTATTTGAAGAAAAATTGATGAAAATTTTTCAAAATTTCCTAATTAAACAGCGATTATGAAAACGCACAAGGACCCTTAAGGATAACTGTTTGCACAACAGTGGGCGTCAAAATGCTGCTGATGATGATTTACCTTTACAGCAAATGCTCAAACTGTTTTCCTTCAGCCGCAATACACGCTCGACATCTTCGGGTTATTAAACGAGCGAATCCACGGTTATTAACAAACTCAGCTGCTTCCAATAGTCTTTGCCGTAGCTCAGCTACATTTTGAATCGGCTTGAAATACACTTTTTCTTTTACAGTTCCCCAGTAAAAAAATCTAACGGATTCAAATCTGGTGACCGGGCTGGCCACGGTATTGTACCAGACCGCCCAATCCATCTGCCTGGAAAGTTTTGATCGAGATACTCTCTCACTGAGAGTGCATAGTGCGCTGGGCAGCCATCATGCTGAAACCACATGTCCCTGTAAATACTCAGTGGCACGTCCTCCAATAAATTTTCTAAATGATTTTTCAAAAAATCCAAGTAAACTTCAGTAGTCAAAGTCTCTGGGAACTCAAACGGACCGATTATTTTACCATTTAAAATTCCTGTCCAATGGTTTATCTTGAAGCGATATTCAGATTTATCTTCTCTCATCAAATGTGGGTTTGCTACGTGCCACTCGTGTAAGTTATGCAGGTGCGGATGAGACCACATTTAAGAAAGATGGGTACATGAACCTGCATAACTTACACGAGTGGCACGTAGCAAACCCACATTTGATGAGAGAAGATAAATCTCAATATCGCTTCAAGATAAACCATTGGACAGGAATTTTAAATGGTAAAATAATCGGTCCGTTTGAGTTCCCAGAGACTTTGACTGCTGAGGTTTATTTAGATTTTTTGGAAAATCATTTAGAAAATTTATTGGAGGACGTGAGTATTTACAGGGACATGTGGTTTCAGCATGATGGCTGCCCAGCGCACTATGCACTCTCAGTGAGAGAGTATCTCGATCAAAACTTTCCAGGCAGATGGATTGGGCGGTCTGGTACAATACCGTGGCCAGCCCGGTCACCAGATTTGAATCCGTTAGATTTCTTTTACTGGGGAACTGTAAAAGAAAAAGTGTATTTCAAGCCGATTCAAAATGTAGCTGAGCTACGGCAAAGACTATTGGAAGCAGCTGAGTTTGTTAATAACCGTGAATTCGCTCGTTTAATAACAAGATCTTTTTTAAGAAGATGTCGAGCGTGTATTGCGGCTGAAGGAAAACAGTTTGAGCATTTCCTGTAAAGGTAAATCATCATCAGCAGCATTTTGACGCCCACTGTTGTGCAAACAGTTATCCTTAAGGGTCCTTGTGCGTTTTCATAATCGCTGTTTAATTAGGAAATTTTGAAAAATTTTCATCAGTTTTTCTTCAAATAAAAATTGTGCATAAGT